CTGCTTTCATTCTGCTTTCCTTGACAACAGTGTGGCTTTTTTTTTTTACAAAATTTACTCGTACCGTGAACACTTTGAGTCTATAAAAGCAAAAGGAATTATTCTAAACAAGGTTATATTCTGAAATTTCCTATCTTGCCCCAATAGACCTTCATAACTCATGAAAGTTGGTTGAATCATGCTAGGTCGACGTAAGCCCTANACAGAGGTGCTGGGGGGGGGGGGGGGGGGGGGGGCAGGCCTCTTCTAAATAAGCTTTCAGCAAAGGATAGCAGAGTTTTTAGAACAAACCGAAAGACTGCAACTCCTTTAGAGACGAAGGTTATCAACGTCATCTGCAATGATGGAGATACAGTAGCGTTCAAAAGTCTTCGGTGAAATGGTTCTTCAGCCATACTTTTCAGTCGTAACCCCTTTCCTACTGGATCAAATCTTGCGAAATTTCCATATTTGGAGCGTGGGTGTATTGTGAATATTTACAACCATTAACCTGCGATCTGATAATGTTCCTCGCATTCCAAAGAGCATCAACTTAAATCCGACTTAATACAGATGATGGCCCTTCTGGAATCCCTTCCCTTTTTGTCACTTCTTAAGTGTACGAGTGGTAATGCCGAACACAATAGATGAGAAAAGCGCACATAAGGTGCGAATAAGTACAGACGTCAACAACTTTACTTTTAGCAAAATCTGCTACCGCAACAAACACCTTGCTCTATCTGTGCATATTGCAGCTTCCCGCTCAAATGATGTTGGGTAGGGTGAATTATGCTTTAGTTAAACATATCCAAATTTCGCGCGATTTGGTTTAGTAAGAGAAAAGTTATGAACGAAAAAGCGTCAAAGCATTTCACCGAAGACTTTTGAGCGCTACTGTATGTTGTGAACTCGGACTCAATGTAGATATAATAGATAAATAGGTCATGCATTCTTCTGCAGTCCTCTTAGAGATGACCAATGACTCAGCTTAAGCGAGGGGTCATTATGATTAGTAGCACTTTTATCTATCAGACTCAGCGAAGATAGCAGGTGGAACTGAAGTGATCAGAAGGAAAGATGATGCTCTTCCGGGAAGGGCCGTTGTTATATCCACACCGTGCTTCCTGTATTTGTTCAGCGGTCTTCAAACGCTATGTGTTGAGAAATACATTCCAAAACAGAATGGCTGCCGAGGAAAAAGCCTATGAGACTTTCACTTATTGTGTACATTGTGACGTATCGGGCTGCTAGCCTGAGACACCTACAGATGTACCCGAACAGGCATTTGACCTTCCTCACAATCAGAGCTCCGCAAGTGCAGTCAGTCGGCGACCTTTCTGGGTGGTAGAAGGGCTGTGATACTGTTCTACTGCTGTGAATGTCAATTATTGTGCAAAATAGAGTGATTTGTTTTAATCAGAAGTTAACACCCGATTTTTCGGGACTCGCCCAGCTAAACTAGCCCTTTTACTGATCACCCATGAAATAGGGGTATCACTCGCGTTCGAGAAAGCGAAACTATCCACCTTGACCTCACTTGACCCTCGAATTATTTTGGAAAGCATACTAATACGAATTAACGTCTCCAACGAAGAAATGGGTCCTTGACCGGTTTCCTATTCAATTTCAGATGTGATAACCACATATCGCATTACTATTTCTACATAGGTAAGAAACTGAAAGGAAATTAGTGGGTCCTGGCGAAGATTGAGCATAGAAACGGTACCAGTAGAGTAGTTATGCGGGTAAAGACTTATACGAGACTCAACGTTCCAGTGGCAGCTCAGCACGTTTGCAGTAGCATCCGCATAGCAGTGGTGGCATAGGATATATGTACGTTTACGAAGCAAAAAGCAGAAAATGGCTGCATTTATTCAGGAAATTGGATAGCCAAGAGATTTAGGGAATATCTCGATCATATCCGATTTACCAGAAATTACTGCTTCTGAGAAGAAAGGGAGTAAGTTCGTAATGTGATTAATTATATTTGATTAGGCGGGATATGAATGAATTCCATGAATCTATTATCCATCGATAGGAAGTGCAGTTATGCGTGCGATGCAGTGGTGAAAGTGTATTCCATAAATAAAAACGCATTCGTTCCATGCACTTTGCATTTTTGAACAATGCTTTCACCTCGTTCGCGGAAGCGTTCACAAACTTGACCAGAAAATGGGTTGGTCACCCTTCCAGAAGTTGCTGGCCACCCCTTCAAGTAGAAATTCTTTATGCAGAAGTCTCCGGTGATTCTTGATGCGTTCTAAGAAACTTACAATCTTACCGTGCTCTGATGAAAATTATGGCTTCGATGGCCAATCAAGCCACTCACCTTCGCTTTCTGTTCTGCTTTCTACTCAGGTCCATCATCCATCCATAACCATGAAAGTCATTTGACTCGATATGGATGCAGATACAGGGGGCTAATACAGGGAAAACGGAAGTTAAGGAAATTTCAGCATTTCAGAACTCTACCTTTTCATCGACACTTTTACAGCGGGAAGAAAAATTTCGTGAGAGAAAGAAGAGGTCGTTGAAATTGAGCAAACCGTGGTACTATAATATGTATTGCAGAGAACTTTGTAGTGCAAATAACGTTTGGTGAGCAAGGGCAATGGCTTGGTAAAGTCGTAACTACTAAGGGAACGACGTAGAGAAGGTCTAATGGGAACCATGTTCTCAAAGAGAAGAACGCCTCGTTGGGAAAACATTTAAATACACCAGTACGGTATGACACTAAAGCATTTGTACTGTAATTAATGGAATGTGTGAGAAGTAGAAGTGAACGGCAGCACTTATAAATCGTTGACGGCACAAATTATTCTAATGACTTGATGACTGAATGGTAGCTCCCTTGGGAAATGTTGCCGTATTAGTCATAGCGAATATCGGACAGCTGTTCAACTGTGTTGGGACGACTCATCGCCTCACCTCCGCTCCCAGACGGCCATAAAAAAATACACATATGAAAAAAACTCTTTACGAAGAGGAATATGTTTGGTTAGCACAACACCTGACAACTGTTACTCAGCGGTGTTTGATATCTCCTGGAATCATTTGGCAGCAATTTGTTGCTATAGAAGCTTCCGCTTGTTTCGAAGAGAATCCAAAAGAAAATCACCCGTATCATATCCCACGTTCCAACTGCCGTAAGAATCCGCGTAAGGTTTGCATAGTGGCAACTTGTGGCTCGCTCTAGCAAAGTAGTGGTAGGCAAAACCTGAGTTTCTAATAGACAGCGACAACGTGCCCCTCTTTTGCCCAGAGAATGAGCCCACAAGTAACAAATTTCGGTACTCCAACATTTTATCTGAAGAAATCTCATTTCTACAGCCAAGCCGTTGATTTCCACTCCATAAACAAATACTTAAACATGGTCACGTCTTCACCAATTTTCAATAGAATCACTCCCACTTGGTCCTCAACCCTGACGTTTCACTTGCTCCAAATGGAACTTCTTCAGGTTCCAGTGAAATTAGTCAGCTCTGTTTTCCTTTTGGCACGGAACGAAACAACTATGATGCCGTCAGCAAAATTGTGGTAGTATGGTGGTTTGGAGTCTGAAAATTTCAGGAATTGTTTTGCAACGTCACGGCTTGTCTCAGGCATTTACACTTTGGCTGAGTAAGTGGAATTAACACCCTACGGTTTATCAGATCTCTCTATAGACATTGCCTTCGGTCTTCTGTGTCATTTGGTCAGCTTCTATCACATGACCAACAAGTACCTGGCCTGAAATCTGTGCTGACTTCGACTTGTAAATCAGTTTTTCAGGGATATCCAAGAAGAAATATGAATGTCTGTGTATTTGTCATTGCTTGTTCGACCTACTTGATCGTCGACATGTTAAATAAAGTTTTATACTGCTCTGCCACAGAGATTTGTTCTGATAGAACAGCTTCAATTGGTCGACGGTTTGAACAACCGTCGTCTTCGTGATCTGGAGATAGTACGAGGCTTCTGATCGATCAAGCACCCGAACGCACTAAGCCAGTTGAGACGAATCCCACAAACCTGAACGCAAAAAGATTCCAGTCAAGGAACCAACCATTTGTGGTCTCATAACACTGAGGTTACCCTCAATTAGATGAACAACGGAGAGCATTTCCAGCTTCAGCGTGAGAATACGAAGCGCTTCCAGTGCCTTTCTAGCATCGATTTCATTCTTATGGCTATTATTTTGCATTTGCTTTCAAAACCACTGTCCCGATGATTTTCTGATTAATGTCTCCCTGGTAGGCTTCCATACATCATTCTTAGACATTCGTTGCCGCATGGGCCTTGTTGCCACTTGATTGTGTGCTCATAACTTTGTGCTGATAGGTCGTGGTGAAGGTAAACTTTTTTCCATAAAAGGTCTACCTGATAGCAAACATTTCATACTGCATGAATCAGAAATGGGCACACATCAGAATGGTTCACACTTACCATTAAATGACAACGCCGCTGGGTATAGGCTGGAAATATCAACACGAAAACGGGGTTCCTAAGGCCTGCTTTCATAGTCCGCCTGCTTTCATAGTTCACGATTTGGCGAGCGAGCAGTCGCGCGATTGGTCGCTCGGTCGCTCGTGGTAGCTAGTCGCTCGCCAAAAGGTGGACTATGAAAGCAGCCACACTAATGTACTTCTGAGAAATCCACTGACAAGTTGGTTTGACTTGATCAAGATTATTTATAGGGTGTTGTTGTCTGTTCTTGATTCTTTCGTCGGTAGTCCTGTTGTTTTCCTTTCGTTAGTGAATAAATGAATAACTAGATACAGAACATGCTTCATCTTCATGTTCTTTCATTAGTACCCCAAAGAAGTTTCTATGAATTATCAAGATCAACAGTTCCCTCGATGCTTGTGCTTTCTCCTCGGACACAGAATAGCGATTGATAGCGAAGAATATGAAGAACATCAAGATCAGTGAGCACAAAGGGTGAGTATTGATTCAACGTCTTCTTGACTGGGAGGGAAGTGAAATTGACCACACCCTTGCTTCCCAAAAGATCACTGCTGTAACTGAATTAACATTTCCTACTACGTTTCAGACGGAAATTTCCTACACAAAAAACCATTGGGTCGATGTTGCGACGGGATCGAACACGTAGCGAACAGCAAGACGAAGGCAGTGACACCATCATTGAGCCCACTTATACTCACACCACCAAAGAAGTATACCACATTCCAACAACACCAATCGATCGAGAACCTCAGACTTTTTGCTTTTGAGTGATCGACCGACCACACTGTCTCTGTTGTCATCAGTACGCTCACTATTCCTGTATCAACAGCAGCGAACACAGTCCCTTCTGGCAGACCAGCTTGTTTGAAGATCAAATTCGAATAGAACACTGTGGCGTTAAGAGCAGGGAGCTGCTGTGCAAGCACAAGCGTTGCCGCAATTGTCATCGGCCACTTCAGCGAACATCCGAACATGTCGACCAGCACAAGCTTCATGACTGCAGCAGATTGGTCTCTGCCGCTTCGTCTTCCATCGAGAGGAGGTCATCGCGATCGTTTCTTGATAATTCCAAGTTTTCTAACTGTGTTATTGCTTTTTTCACATTCACCCTAATACAAAGGTCGTTACGCGCATCCGTCGAAACTAGGTCACACCGCCGATCGCGATGTAGGCTGATTGACCCAGTTTCACGGACGTGCGGAACGAACGTTAACCCTGTAAGATGTGCGGTTCATGTACACTCAGACGATTCGCTCACATTCTCAAATGGTCCAATTAATTCATTGCGAACCGTAGTGCTTTCACAGAAACGAAAATTCAGTGCGGCTCTCTGCTTTTACAGTAATCCGGCACGTGTTAATACGCAATTTTCACCAGCCACATATACGGCCCGTCGAAAAAGGGCCTGGGAAAGGACGCGGGGGTGGGTGGTAAGCAAGCCAGGGGGTTACTGTAAGAGCCGAGTGCTGTACTGAGTTTTCGTTTCAGTGTGTTTTCGCGCCGGCTGGCGCATGTGCCCGGCGTTTCCTTTAGGATCGACGCATCGACGTGACTCGCCGCGTACAGCACGCCGCCACACAGAGCGGCTCTTTTGAGGGAATCGTGGAGTATGTGCTGTTCGAACTTTATTCAAACTCTAGAGTGATTCTGGACAACATCGTGGGCTTGCAGAGGCGAAGGGGCGTCCTGCACCATGTGTAGCACGTGGTACGCAATGGTCTTATTTCGGAAGCAGCCATGAAGGCGATATTGGTATATAGCAAACCACCTGCCGACCATCCTTGTGAGCCAGTGCGACTGAAAGTAGACCTTCAACTGCACCTCCAATGATAACATGCGCACTTCTTTCTAGACCAACCTTAGTATCTCTGCCAGTTGATGGCCCGCTCTTCTCTCCCGTTTATCGTTTATATGACTATGTTATAAACAAGTGCTGAAAAATACTCGATCAAATGCTTTTTTGGCAGCAACTTTTTTTAACTTCTTTCTCAGTGGAGCAAATAGGGCAATAGAGAAATTTCGATATGTTCAACAGAAGCATATTTCACTCTATCCAACATTGTTTGACTGCAAAGCAGCAATATCCACATAACTAGATCAAGGTCTTTGCTGTGGTAGTAGACTACGCCGCAAGCAAAGTTAGCGACGTCTGCAGTTATTCGCACCTTATATGCATTTTTCCCCCTCAAAATGTTCGGCATTAACATTCGTACACTTTGGACACGGTAAGAAGAAAGGAAGACTGGAAGTACCTGTGTCCCCATTTCTTTTTTTTCTTTTTTTGACCTTTTTCTTTTTTCTTTCTTTTCTTTTTTTTTGATTTTGAATTCAAGCTATTCGGCACATCTGGAGCATGGTCACATTGCAGGTTAATAGTGGTGAATATTCACAACAAATCCGTGCTACACATATTGAAATTTTGCATGATTAGATCCAATATGAAAGAAGTTACGACTGCAAAGAACGTGTGAAGAAGCATTTGGTCTTGTGAGCGGTGCTGTATAACTAACTAACTATACTATATTATATATTATATACACAATTACATACATAAAGGTTTGAAATAGAGTTAGGCTTTGTAAGCAATGTAGGATAGAACTTCTGGAAATAAGGTAAGCAGAAGGAATTCACATAACATTCCACGCCGTCGATTATCAATTTACGCTTTTGCGACTGCCATGAAAACTCTGCAATGCTTTCAAACCGTACATATGTCTGTACCGTACCTAGCTTTTTTGTAGTAACCTCATTGACTATACATGTTTGTGACAAATAGGCTCCTGTAAAATATTCATGTGGATCATAGAACTACGTGGTTCACGCGTGACTCCATTAGAGGCGCACGCGCATGCAGCACGCAACGCACCACCTAGCCGATTTCGTACGTGTTTCCATGTGGCGTTACAGTATCCTAGGATTGCAATGTGTTGCAAACCGTATTTGTACCAGTCCATGACGGGAGACGGGCAGTAGGAACGGTTTTGTGCAATCGATTCGCCGCACGCGGCTGTCACGGAGCATTTGCCGCGAGGCCTTATAACAATTCCAGCGTTCTTTATACAGCTAAATCGCTATGCAATTATTACTTATGACATGATTCTACTGTTGATTGTTTTGTTTCCGAATTTCTTACTTGCTGCTGCACTCTGATACATTCCTTTGCGCGCGGCGTCTCTCGCGCGACGCGACAATTTCGTTCCTACTGCGCCACACCCGTCCTTTACATGGCCATTGACTGATATAATATACTTTTGTTTGTCTTTTGCTGAACTGTTTTTGATTGTCTATTATTTGGTGTTTTTTTTTGCAACATCACATCACTTTTATGTTTTTATGGATATTTTGTATTGTTTTTGTTCGTGTAACGCTTCTTCAGACTAGACAATTCCAAAGATTATCGCTTGTCTCTGTTGTTAGATTGGCGCGCTTTTTAGGTTTTTAACTTAAGGTGGACTTATTTCTTGTTACCTCTCGTTTCTTATTCAGTTTGTTGTCTTTGTAATCATTTTTATATACAATACCACTAATTTCACTTGTCTAAACCTTTTCATCTTTCCCATTCTCTCGCTTTATTGCGTTGCTTTTTGACATTTGTTATGTTTTATGTTTTATTACAACGGAATAATTTAACTGCAGTGTTTTGAAATATATCGTAATTGAATAAAGAACAATTCTAGCTTATCATTTTCACACTAGTCATGTACTAAAATTGGCAATCCGGCAAAGTTTAATATTAAAGTACGATTGATTAGAACAAAAGGAGTGTGTGACTCACTAACAATCTATTGAACTAAGCAGACATTCATAGAAAGATTTAATAAAAGTAGAAAAAAGAAACGAACCAGTAAACGATTCATCGCAAACCAACGAGTTAGATAAAAAACGCATCAATAAAGCACAGACACTGTTAGGTGTTGTCTATTTGTTTCCCACAATGCACTTATTGGAGACAGAGGACATCGATTTTTCCTGGAAGCCCTGATCACGCTTGAGCTTGTCGCCGTTATGGTTCACTTCGGTCGCAGATCTGAGACCTGACAATTCCTAATCTCTGCCTTAAATCGATCCTCATAGGGGTGCGGGTCTAGAGCTCATCTTTCCAAGGACAACAAGATGCGTGACCTGTGCCAGTCAGCAACCGTAGGTTTTCAAGCTCATGCATATGCGAGTTTTCTGTCTCGGCGTGATTTATTCAGGTCGAATACTATGCAACCCAGTGCACTGCGCAGCCTCTCATCTCGGTCTTCCTGAGGTTCCTGATGGGCGACCATTTCGATGAATTTTGGACAAATACCATAAAGACCTTTGAGGTAGGCCCATTGACTAATCCGTTTTGATGACTTGTGAAAATGTTTTGCTTTGCATTTGGAATCTTTGGATATCATCGTTTCGCGAAAAATTCAATTCTGTGACGTTCTTTTTGAGTCCCCATAATTTTTGTCGCGGTTTGCATGAAGTTTCTGTAGCTTTTAGCCGATGTTATATTCTCTAATGTGATAATCCACTGCACAATGGTGTTTACGGAGGTGAGTTGGCCGACTCTCAGTACTTCACCATAGGTGTTTTACTTCATTTTCAGAGACATCAAGGGGGGCCAACATAGTTGTGAAATTTCATTTTTTCAACGAATAGGCAACTTTTACCTCTAGTGTTTCCACACCCTTCATTCAGGTGTTTATGCTGTCCCTGCTGCTTTCGATTGCTTCCATCCGAATCGATTTGCTTTCTGTTTCATTTTAGGATAGACCTTGTATTCAATGGTATTAAAACTTAGTTGAAGGGCGTTCTAGAAACAGCTCTGGCAGAAAGCGTTTAATGAAGCAGTCACTCTGAGTGTTCGTGCTTGGCTTATGAGAGATGATTTTTCTGTAGGTTTTTAATCGATAGTAAAATGTAAGAATTTCGAAGGGTCAGTGTGTTAGAAGTTTTATTCGAAGTCTTTCAACTTCTAGGAAAGCGGAATTCGAGCTTTCAAATTAAGCTCACAGCTCAAGCTAGCAAAAGAAGGCGTATGGTGTTGAGGAANTTTTAATCGATAGTAAAATGTAAGAATTTCGAAGGGTCAGTGTGTTAGAAGTTTTATTTGAAGTCTTTCAACTTCTAGGAAAGCGGAATTCCATCCGAGCTTTCAAATTAAGCTCACAGCTCAGGCTAGCAAAAGAAGGCGTATGGTGTTGAGGAAGGTAGCTCTAATCTCCGAGACATTTGAACGTGCTGCTGGTATCCTTGCATTTACCGTTCGTTTCATAGTATTCCTATCATGACAACGCTTTATCGTCTCGCAAATTAACTTCTGAACCGATGACAACTATAATCACATACAGATGAGGGATCGATTCTCGATTTTCGATTCTGAAAGCATCTCTACTGCGTTCCCTTACTCTCTGTACAGTCGGCTATTCTTTGTTTGTCCCGTTTGATAACTACATTGATAATACAAACTGCACTATTCAAATTGCAGCCTTTCTATCTTCCACGGCCCCTTTCATGGATTTTCAAGATTCTTACGTGAGTGGTTCTAATTTGATGNCGCACGTGTATTTATTTCCGCTCCTCGGTCACGCTGTAGTGATGACATTTTTGCTAGTTTGCTCGGTCCGTTTGAAGGATTCTTCGCCTGTGGGTTCAAAAGAACTTTCAAAATCAAGGTAAGAAAAGTTTCGGGATATGATAACCTCTGTTTCATATGGCGTAGCAGAATGTCTGTATCTTTATCTTTGTTCATAGCCAGTTGCCAAATGAATTCAGAAGTGGAAGAACTAGCTAACACTCAACTGACACAAAATAAAACACAACACAAAATAGACATAAAATAAAACACAACACAAAATAAAACACAAAAGATTCAAAGTAAACCGTAACGATGGGAGGATCTAATCCTAAAGCATCCTACCGAACATGAACTATGCCTCCCAGCCACCCGAGCCAAGCTTGCGAACGAAGAGTAAATAGCAGTAAAACTAGCAGCATGTGCAGTGGAGAATAAAGCGAGGTG